TTAGCCCAGTCTAAAATGTCGCGTTTCTCTTTCAGAAATTCACATAACGTCCCGTTGTTTGCGTATTGCATTACAAGAAAATAGGCATTTTTATCTTAAAACAGAAAGTAACATTAATATCCAACAAAGTAAATTTATTTATAACAGATTTTTTTTACATACTTAAACTCTCACTAATTCCATATAATGGTATAATATTTGCATGATTCAAAGTACTTAACTTTAAATAATATTATTTACAAGTCAATACTGTATTACAAAATATCAAAACTTTATTATTGATTGATAGTCACCTCCTTTATAAATGCGAAGAAGCTATCTTTTTCTTTTTCTTTAATATGACATTTTTTTATCTTTTTAAGTACAATTCTTTCGGTGATTGATTTGCATTTTGCTGAATAAACTTTTCCGAATGACCCGTCACCAATAATTTCTTCCTTAGTAATTTCTTCAAATGGTATTTCACGAATTTTACCAACAGTAATCGCATCATCAAGCCATTCATTTGGAGACGTCGTCGTCATCTTGAAACAAACCGTATCACAGTACAAGTAAACTTCGGAGTTTTATACATGTACATGTACGTAGTACATGTACATTAATGATTGGTTAACTTATTTTGTGTATTTAATTATTCATTATCGTTATTTTCACGTTCTTTGTAAATTTTGTGTAGCGGCTGATTTCTATTGACGAGAACTTAACGACGTTAAATACATGTAGGTGAAGTGCTTATTTAAAATTAGCGCTGTGATATTTATATTCAAGAAAAAATATAGCCGATAAATTTAAGACTTACAGTATCTACTATTTAAAATTACCTAATACATAATGCATCCTCTTATCAAATTGATAATGGTTCGGGTTAATAATGTGGACTGCAAAATTTACCTATTGCTATAGATAATTTTTCAATGCTTTAGTATACCATTACGGAACACACGTAAATTTTACTTTTTATAAGCCAAAAATACATCATTTTTAAATTTGTTAATATCTCTTATGGTCTATATTATTTATTAATTTACTCCCCAATAGACGGTGTCGACAACATCGAAAGTATTAACCAATTACCTGCCTTTCTCAGGCATACGGTTCAGAGCCTGTATGCAATGCGGATGTCGCTCCGGATTACCAACACACTCAATGGTCACTGGTTTAAGTGAAGGAACGACTCTGCTTTTCGTATTAATTAACAATAGATTTACAAAAGAATGAAATGATTAAAGTTTGGATTACTTGTTTATGTTCGAAAGCCCAAAGACAAATAATTTAGAAAAATCCTTTAAATTTTGTGG